TCCACTCGCCTTTTAAAAAGCTTGATTTTGTTCCCCGTATTCTGTGAAGACCCGCCCCTACTCTGATTGGTAGGTTTCAGCACGAGGAGTGAGATGGGGTGGGTCTTAACGGAATACGCGAGAGAGAGAAGTCATAACAAGTGGTACAGGACAGGTAGACGACGTGTTTTTCGGATGGAAAATTAGCCAAATGCAGCAGCATTTGGATGCATTTCAACCAAAACCCAGGCAGTGATAAAGCGCACCATTTGTAAAGGCAAAATATCCTTTAAAGCAGGGTCAACAAATAATCTCCATCGCCACTTAAAAACACAGTATCTAATATTAAGAGTTGCGTGAATTTCATTCAAGGCAAGGCAACTATATTTACTTAACACATACAGAGGGTAAATTCAAAGTGATCACTGACATGATGACATGGATATGGCGCCACCTTGTGTCATGTTTACAATGCAGATTATTGACATTAGGTCTGGCAATACAGTCAATCATTATCCTGGTGATTATTTTGCAGATAAACCTAGTAACCTTAAAAAAACGGCTCTTTTGAACGGCTCTTTGAAAGGAACGGAGCCATAAGATCCGGCTCCCTTCAAAGAGCCATAATTCCCATCACTAGTGCCCACTGACCACCAGCCACGCCCCGACACATTGGGTTAAGCCAATCACAAAGCTTTGATGCGTTCAAGTGCATTATTCTGGCACAGGAAGATTATGTTATAGGACATTAACGATAAAACAGAATATTGTTGTTCTATTTTTAGACACATCTCGCGATCGACTGGTTGGGCACCCCTGGACTAGAGACTACTATTTCACCAGTAAGGGTTTATAAAATGGAACCATTAAAGAGTGGAGTCTCTTTTTGGGTTAGGCTCATAATAGTGTGACGGCCGCACATTGATTTAAAGCTCCCATGTCATGCTTTTCCGGTTATTACCCGTCCCCTTGTGTGTTATGAAGGTTTTTATGCATGTAAACGGTGTGCAGAGTCAAAACCCTCAAAGTACACCCTGTAGCGAGTAAAACTCTAACACAGAAAATACCTCCCCAAAACGCCTCGTTGGAGATACGTCATTGTCCATTTGATTCTTCCATTTAGTTCCGGGTACCGCCTGATGTCATGCGGTACCCGGAACGAAATGGACCAATCCCGAAGAGCTATGGCCACACCAGCAGCGGCGTGTTCCTCCAGAAGTTCGAAGAACCGGCATTTCACAGACGAAAGCTTCCAAAACATTGCCCAGTTTGAGGCCGGATATGCACAGCTTGTTTGGACCGTTTGGAGCAGGGGAAGATTCGGGTACACAACCTGTGAGTTTGCATTGTTATTTGTGTATTTATCAAACAAGGTAGCTACCACGACTGTTTAAATGTGTAAACATGTTTACTGCTAAGCCAGTGCTAACTGTGCTAACTAAGTTGCTAGAGTTTAAATATATCAACTACAATGTCAGCAGATGGCCTTACATGTTTGTCATGGCAGGAGAATGTCTGCAGTCACACACACGGAATAGTCATACAGTATACTCCGGGTGATTTACCGTACATTGTGACAGTACATGTATAGCTAACTAGGCTAGCTATACATGCTAGCGGGAAACATTGTATGACCGAACGTAGCAGACTACCCGTAGAATAATGCAATTATAAACACGTTATTGCTAGCCTAATATGAACCACTAACTTTTGTTCATAGTAGTTTTATTACACTCCGTTCCTCCAAGCTAACGTTCATATTGTGTTAGCTACCAAGGTAAACAAAGCTAGGTTAGCATATTAGCTGGCAAGCTGTTCATTAGATGGATTAGATATATCCACACTCCTACCACAACTACTACTAACGAATCTAAAACAACTAAGTTTCTCTAATATTTTGTGATTTGCATTTTATTTCGTCCAGACAGATCCTGCCGGACAATACATGACTGGACGACCACACTGAGGCATCGTCTCAAAAGCCCCGGCTGCTATAGGCAAGATGCCGACAACAATATATGTATATTTACGTTCATTTTGTACATTTCTAAAAATAAAGTTTAATGGAAATACTTAGTAGGCCTATCCTTTCTTCCCTGAATTATTTGCACCTGTAACATATCATTCATATATAGCAAACCATGATTTGATTTCTCATCAAACAGTAGTAGTTTATAACGGGTAAAAATAACTTACTCTTTGTTATGAGCGGCTCGTAGGCCACAACGGAAAGACAAGGAGACATACACGAGTTTACAAAACCACGGCACATTTATTGTGGTAAATGCAGAGATAGGTGGTTGAGAGGATCGCAGAGTTAGTCTTCCTGCAGCCGCTTTGGAGAGAGACAGGGGCCGTCGTGTGACTCCGGGCAGCTGGGCTTAATAGCACCTCGGCTCCGGAGGTGTCCGTGATCGTGCTGATTAGCCTCTTCAGCTCCACCCCATCGTAAGACAAAGGCCCTGGGGCCGTCACACTCTTCTATAACAACAGTTAAAAATATATATGTATATAAAATATACGGCTGTACCGACGCCATGATAAGACTGATGTTCGGCTGAGAGCAGCCGTTTAGACATGGGCGCAGCCTCTCTGGTGGTTGACTAATCAGAACAGAGTGGCCGAGCTGACCAATCGGAGCACACTAGGCTCACAGGGAGGGGGGGGGCAAGAGCTCCAACGAGTCGTTTAGTGGAGAAAGTGAATACTGCTGAATACACATGCTTGACAGAGATGCTGTATGCGAAACCAATGTGAGTTTGGAAAATTGCACAGTATAAATCTATTTTAGTATACCTCAACAATGTAATTATGATCAGTGGAAATGGCCATGACATGGGCCCTTTAAGGTGTTTTCTTCTAAACTGTAGTGGCAGGGGAAAAGGTTTAAGGCATGTTGCTTATCATGAAATGAACTATGATACATATATATTATCCTCGCAACTGCAGTTGTTAATGTCCACTGTTATGTACGGTTTGAGGGTGTGGGTCATTAAGCCTCATCTGCATATTCACCTGTCGCGGCGCGCCCAGAGGCTTCTTAGTGGGAGCGTCACCGGGACGCCAGGGGTTGGTTCTCACGGGAGGAGGAAGTGTGTGTGTGGCGAATGCGGGTATTCAGCGAGATATTTAAGTTTCCTCAGCATGTATTATATGTTAAAATGCAAAGGGGAAGTAACTGAAAGTGGATATTGCATCGACCGACAGTAAAGACAATTTTGGTTTATCGCCGAGCGGACTTTTTGTTATGTTTTGTTTGTGTTTTGCTTGGCTGGAAAACTGTCAATATAATTGAATAATAACGCATAAAACCGGTCTTTGTTTATTTTGTGAATGTGTGGATGTAGACAGTAGCTAAATACACTTCCGTGGGGACTATTTTGTGGAAAGATTAGATTTTCCGTTTATCAGTTCTGTTTTGCCTCTATAATATTATTTCATATCAACAACCCCTTGTGCGTTCATTTAACACAGCTATTTTTGATAGTTGATCGTTACAATAGGAAAGACTTATAGTTAACCAACTATAATTCTTGTTTTAACGACATAGAAGGAAGTTATTATGTTTATAACAGCAACTACATGCACAGTTTGACCCTGGTCCGAACAATAATGCCCTGCAACTGGAGGTGCATGGGGCTGGATCATTTTATAGCAGGTGCTGATGAGTTCTGAAGCAACAAAGAATACCAAATAACATACTGGGTTACAGAAAAAGTTTCAATGATGGCAGGCTATTAGAGAAATTGCCTATTGAAATGAAAATTATTAAATGTTCAGAGCAAACAAATTGAATAACATACGTTTTAGAAGGTATAATGAAAGAAGGAGAAACAACCACAATCTCATAGTCACCTCAGATCGACTGAGTCAGTGACCACCTCTCATTTTGCCTTTAAAACTAAATATTTAAAGCAAATGTACACTTTCAATTGAGCCCAGTCCGATTCTATTAAGCAAAAGTTGTTCATTGTTTTCCAGTGGAAAGACCCTTAAAACGATCTGTTGAAACATAACTCTCAGAGCGAGAGTCTTCTTTTTTATGTCATCATTACAAGCCTATGAGTACTAAATATTATCTTGGCACATGATCTGAAAATAGTGGCCTGGTACGTTTCATAGTAATGGTGTGTTACTAAGCCAGTTCATATCTGAATCAGAGACAACAGCTGCAGGAGCAGACAGATTGGTGAGAGACAATTATCTTTCCTCCTTCCATCTCTGTCTCCCCTCTTCTATCTCTCACTTTTTAAACTGTAATTAGTTATCCTCAGCCAGCCCTGAAAGTATCGACTCAGAGAGAACTTCAATCACACTCAGTAATACATCCATATTTTTTATCAGCCCTGGACAGCTGAGCTAACAGAGCGGAACATCACACCCTGATAGCAGCGCCTCACTTTTCTTTATCCTGCTATCACTCCCCGACTCATCACTCACCTGGAGCAGCATGGACAAACACACAAACACATTTTTCTACCGTGTGTTTATTTCTGTGAACAATATCACATGAAATGACAGAAAATAATCAGCTGGAGGTTTTACCGCCTTGTTCAGCTCCAAGTTGGTGGAGATCAAATCAGAGGCAAAAGAAGAGTGAATGCTAGATTTACAGATATCATACAGATGCAAAAAAGACATCTCCAATGGGCTGATCATGTTGCTGTGTGTCTCCTAGATCAATACAACTTCAACTATAAGAACTTTCTAGTTTAGCCTAGCTTAGCATAATGCTTTAGCACGGGCAAACATGGTAACTACTACCGAAAGGGAGTGAAATACGACACCTACTCAAAAGCAGCTTTGTTTAAATAATGATATATTATTAGCTCCTACGCTGGTTGGCAATGCATTAAGAAACATCTTCACTTTTATTTTGGGAAATGTGTAAAGCTAACAGGAAATCTGACCACCTGTTTTCACCAGTTCAAGCTGCTGTTGTGTCCACAAGCTAGGAAGTCTAAATGCCAGTGATCCATTTTAAAGTTGAATTTACTGTGTTTTTATTGTGTGTGTTCCAGTTGTCCTCGGCCCTGATGTTTGACGCGGTCCACGTGGTGATGAGCGCCGTGCAGGAGCTGAACCGCAGTCAGGAGATCGGAGTGAGGCCGCTGAGCTGCACCTCTCCGCTCATCTGGCAGCACGGAACCAGCCTGATGAACTACCTGCGCATGGTGAACTACACACACACACACACACACACACACACACACACACACACACACACACACACACACACACACACACACACACACACACACACACACACACACAGACACACACACACACACACACACACACACACACACACACACACACACACACAGACACACAGACACACACACACACACACACACACACACACACACAGACACAGACACACACACACACACACACACACACACACACACACACACACACACACACAGACACAGACACAGACACACACACACACACAGACACACACACACACACACACACACAGACACAGACACAGACACAGACACACACACCATCACTGATCTGATTAAATATATCTTTTCTTTTTTGTTTTCCTTAATAGAAATCTTATCTATCCTCTTTTGATATTTGTCTCTTTGCCAACATTTCCTTTCTGAATCCATAATCGTCCCGTTCTATGTGTGTCACCTTAACATGTAGCTGGTTTAAGACTTCTGATTTAGCTACACACATGTTCCTACAGTGGCTCAGGCTCTCTGATACTTCACAGCAACCAGTCACAGCATTCTAACATCCTGGAGAATACTTGAGGGTGGTTCAAGCTTGGTGATGAAATGTATTACTCAATGAATACTTGGCTGCTATATTATTGCAAATCTACTCTAGCCATAGAGGCACATACAGTATAGTAATGGTTACTTGCAAATGGTCTCGAAAGCAGTCCTCTAACAGGACAAGGTAACACAGTTTATTCAAGATGTCCTTCACCAAGGAGTTGTTTATACAACACAGCTAATAAGCTACAGGTTCCTTTTTTTGATTTTGACACGTTGGTTCTCTGTTCTATCAGGTACTATAAGGTCAGCACTGTCAACATGGTTACTGTTGGTTAAGGGTGAAGTTACCTTCAGCATCAATAGTCTTACTCAGCCCTGAAAGCAAATATACTAATTGCAGCAATTCTATTTCACCAAACGGATTTCTCAGAAAATTCATCCATTTTAAATGAAGGGCCATTATCTAGTTTTGGTTTTTGTTATGTTATTCAGTGCAGACTAGAGTAACCTGATCATTTGCACTTCAGTTTTTTTCACATCATACTTATACAACAGCTACGTGCCAAGTATACCGTAACTACATTTTGGGATGGATATATAGTCTTTGTGTTGTCAATATCTATGTTTAGTGAAAAACTACTGTATTTTAACACAGGGTTTTCAAAGCCTCACCACACCATCATTTATGTGAAATGTTGCAGCTGGATCCATTCATTTGACTGTTAATCCACATATTATTCATGTTAAAAAACCTTCAATTTTGAAAGCATTTGTCAGATTGTCATGTGTAGCTAACCGTTACCTCTTTGTGGTCCCTCTCTGTCCCCTCAGGTGGAGTACGATGGTCTGACGGGTCACATAGAGTTCAACAGCAAAGGCCAGAGGACCAATTACACCCTGAAGATCCTGGAGAAACACCCTGCGGGACATAAAGAGGTCAGAGGTCAAACGGGGTCGAGTGGGAGACAGACAGGTCAGAGGTTAGGTTAACTGATCTCCTCACATTTTGCACTTCAGTATTTTATTAGTTTGAAGGAGCAGGACAGATCATTTTAAGAAGCAGGAAGCACTCCCAGAAGAACATACCTCAACACATGAACATGTTTTTCTTGGAATCCTCTTAGTTGGGATGGAGGTGTGTGAGAATCAAATCTCCTCCCTAATGTGCAGGTGTTACTGCCACTCGGCTTGTTCTGGCCATGGAGTCACAGTAAGCAGTTTTTCATTCATCCATCAGTAACATCCATACAGCAGACTCTGTCCACGTGGCTCAGTGTTGCTGAGTGACCTGAGATGAACAGTAAGGGATCAAAGATCAATTGAGTTCACTCCTGGGTCAAATGGGCTCCCGGGCCAGGGTTAAGTGTGCTGTGAAGAGTGATGCAGAGCTGGAAACCCAGGAGATGGAGATCTTTCTGTCTTTTAATATTATCATTTGCTGCTAACCAGCTGGGTCTGTCCAAAGGTAACTACATCTCAAGATCACCATTGAAATGGTTTATTCTGTACATCGTGCAGATAGGAAGGGAAATAAATGAGCATCCAAACAAAGAACTGGTACAGTCAGTTTCAAATAAAGGCAGTCCCCTCCTGTCTTGTTCGGTTCAAATCTGACCGATTTACTACTTTCATCGATCATAGATATTGTGTTTTACATCTGATTGCCTCCAGGCCTCATGATATCCCAGTCAAAGATGACCTCTATAGAAGATGAATGGGTAACCCTAGATGATGTCCATCCATCAGATAATACACACACACACATCTACAACCATGTTACATTTGGAATACATTTTCAGTGTGTATTCTTTGTATATTCCCTGCAGTTATTCATGTTAACCAGTAGACTGAGACAGTGTTTACAACTTTAAAGGGTTTTCAATCAAATGTGTTGACGATTCATGTTTTTGTGTTAATGTCAGAGCAGTTAAAACAGACCGGTCAAATTTGACCTAGAGAACTAAAGTAAGGGGGGAGAAACCAACTCAAACAGAAGGGTTAAGAATGTTGACCTTGTGGAAGATTGTTTAGGAACATCAATCACAAACCAAAAAATAATAGAAGCATTTGGTAATCAGATAACAGCAAAAGTATTTCCATTGAGACACAAGTTTTATTTGGGTGGTTAAATGAAAGCCATGATAAACAGATGGTAAGGAGGGACATGATTTGAGGAGAGTATGAGTCGGAGCTCCACCAAACAAAGATGAGTTTTAACATCACAATGGGAGCTTGGAAGGAGCCATGCTCTAAATCAGCCCCAAAAGTAGTCATTGTGCAGATTGGTCCATTTCAGAATAATATATATGATATGTTTTATAATGATTGATCATGAAAGTGTTCTCAAAGCTGGTAAAGGTGCAGCTAGTTTGAATGACTTTGTATACTGCAGGGTAGCTTGTGAATTCACTCCAGGTGGAACTAAAGTCTGATTTAACACTTGATTATATTTCACATCATTCATCCACATCTGTAAAGTAAGTTAAAGTACACTATTTACGTCTGCATTGTAGTGGGTTAGAAGTACATAGTACCTCAAAATTGTGCTTGAGTACAGTACTTGAGTAAATGTTCTTAATTACTTTACACCACCTGCTCCACCTTTGTCCAAGATAAATCTTGTATTTCCTTCATTGTTACCTCTTCTTTCTCCTCTTCCTCCTCCTCCTCCTGCTCAGATCGGTACCTGGTTCTCCAACAACACGTTGGCCATGAACTCCACGTCCCTGGACCTGAACGCCTCGGACACGCTGGTTAACAAGACGCTAATCGTGACCACAATACTGGTAATCTGTCATAATGTAGAGTTGGGTTTCACTGCATGATGTTCCTCCTCCTGAATCAGCTGCTGATGATGTCACTTCCTCTGGTAGGAGAACCCGTACGTGATGCGGAGGTCCAACTACCAGGACTTCCAGGGAAACGACCAGTACGAGGGCTTCTGTGTGGACATGCTCCGAGAGCTGGCCGGCACCCTGAAGTTCTCCTTTAAGATCAAGCTGGTGGACGACGGGCTGTACGGGGCCCCGGAGCCCAACGGCAGCTGGACCGGCATGGTGGGGGAGCTGATCAACCGGGTGAGTGGGGGGGGGGAACAATGTTTGAAAGAAGAGGAATAACTAACATATTTAGACAAGCTATCCACATTAAAAGTGTGTCCAGTTTTGATTGCAACTCCCTCTGAAAGGGAACAGAGGGATTCTGAGAGAAGTTCCTGTAAAACTGGTTGACAAAAGGAACTGTCACCACACATTGTATCACATGCACATTACCGTACCTGGATTTCTGAATTTGTTTTTTGCTGCATTATTATTAAAATAGAAAACTAACAGCAGAGAATACTTGAGAGACCTCTTTCTATACCACTTGTTTTAAATACAGACATTTATAGTGCATGGTTTGGCTCGACTCGACCATAGACTGTATACAATATGGACATAGGCTCTATGACGTCATCCACAGGTTTATGAAGTCCTGTTGTGAAGCACAAAGCACTGAAGCAGCAGAGCACACCGAGCTGTCACTCAAGTGACCTCGCCCTTTGTTATGCATATACTTTATCCGTAATATCATTTAAACAGGTGGGTTGTATATAAGCATATTACAGTTGTTGTGAAAGGTTATATAAAGAGGCTAAGACCATTTTTCACACCCTATAATCATATCAGAGTGGTGCAGGAATGAGTCCTAAACCATTTTAGCCCTTCCTGTTCGATCATCTAAAATTCAACAGTGTTTTGGAAGTGCTTTTGGTTAGATGCCTGCAATAAGATCTGTGGTTAACTCAAGCAAACAAACGTTGTGTTCTCCGTTCCGCACAGACCTGATTCTCATCACCTGCAGTGACCTATATTCTCTTTCTACACCGCACTGTTACAAGTCAAAACAAAAAAACGTAAATAGACAAATCAAAAAGTCATAGAAGAGCTCCAACACATCCTTTCAGAGAGGCCTTGGTTAGACCATACACTCCAGCACGTGCACTACACTCGGTGTCGGCCAATTCGCTTGCTGCTCCCTCACTGTGAGTGGGACCCAGGTACCCCTCAAAAACACGCCTGTTTGCTCTCCTGGCTCCTAAATGGTGGAATGAACCCTTTGACATCAGGACAGCAGAAACTCTGCATATCTTCCGTCGCAAACTGAAAACGCATCGGTTGTATTGTACCTTGACAATTAAGTACTTGGGAAAGAAAAAGCACTTTAAAGAGTTAGCTTAGTCCTTGTATCTGATTCACCACGACTTACTTTGGTATGACTTGCTTGAAGTGAATATATCTGCCCTTTCCTTGTTGTTTAAATCTTTATGGTTTTGCACTTATTGCAAGTTGCTTTGGATAAAATAATCAGCCAAATGAAATGTGAGGATCGGACAAATTATTTTAACTTCTAGGGAGTAAAACTCACACAGACTGAAAGAGTTCACACACTGAGTCCTGCTCTGGCCCGGCAGCTCTGAGTCCGGCCCGGCAGCTCCGAGTCCTGCTCCGGCCCGGCAGCTCTGAGTCCGGCCCGGCAGCTCCGAGTCCTGCTCCGGCCCGGCAGCTCTGAGTCCGGCCCGGCAGCTCCGAGTCCTGCTCCGGCCCGGCAGCTCCGAGTCCTGCTCCGGCCCGGCAGCTCTGAGTCCGGCCCGGCAGCTCCGAGTCCTGCTCCGGCCCGCAGCTCTCCAGCAGCTCTGAGTTCCGCTCCGGCCCGGCAGCTCTGAGTCCTGCTCCGGCCCGCAGCTCTCCAGCAACTCTGAGTCCTGCTCCGGCCCGCACCTCTCCGGCAGCTCTGAGTTCTGCTCCGGCCCGCAGCTCTCCAGCCGCTCTGAGTCCTGCTCCGGCCCGCACCTCTCCGGCAGCTCTGAGTTCTGCTCCGGCCCGCAGCTCTCCAGCCGCTCTGAGTCCTGCTCCGGCCCGCACCTCTCCGGCAGCTCTGAGTTCTGCTCCGGCCCGCAGCTCTCCGGCAGCTCTGAGTTCTGCTCCGGCCCGCAGCTCTCCAGCAGCTCTGAGTCCTGTTCCGGCCCGGCAGCTCTGAGTTCTGCTCTGGCCCGGCAGCTCTGAGTTCTGCTCCGGCCCGGCAGAGTTCTGCTCTGGCCCGGCAGCTCTGAGTTCTGCTCCGGCCCGACAGCTCTGAGTTCTGCTCCGGCCCGGCAGCTCTGAGTTCTGCTCCGGCCCGGCAGCTCTGAGTTCTGCTCCGGCCCGGCAGCTCTCCAGCAGCTCTCCAGCAGCTCTGAGTGTACTTGGCTGGCTCTTGTGCTGCAGCTGAAGGGCCATCACTGTCCCTCGCTCAGAGCACTCATCCCCCCCTCCGCCGCCTGTTGCCATGACAACTAACGCAGAACCAATGTTGGAGCAAGTGTAATTATTGGAGAGTGTTCATGTTGGAGTGTGTGCTCGGCCACAGACGTTTCACTACTTCATCGTGTGATGAGCCCTGTAGGAGCCACGTCATGACTTCAGAGCTTACGTTGCTGATTTCTTCAGCAAAGCCGGTGTAAATAACAAAGACAGCGGCTGGCTGTGTAGAAGCTGTGTTCATGTAGCTTTTATTCTTACAAAGCCTGATTGAATCACAGAATAACTTTCTAGCTTGCCTTACCTGTTCTCTAATACCAGAGGTTCCCATCCTTTTTTTCTGGTGGACCCCTTGAGTTGGTCTCCATTCTATAAGAACGCCCGACTCATCTGTGATGATTCACCTACATGTGATAAACCCTTTGTAATCGTATTTAACCCAACTGCTCCTTAAATGAAAATCCCTTGTATAAGTCACCCTGAATACAAATGCATTTAAACTTGACATTTACACTTATTGTCAGTGAAAATAATAATATTAACACTCACTTCTAGCAGTTTCTACATCTTTGTTAAGTCACTAGCAGGCCAGGGTCCCCAAGCTTTCTGAGACTGAGAGCTACCTGAAGGATGACAAGGAATATTTTTGTATTTAACCTTTATTTAACCAGATGAAAACATTGAGACAAAATCTCATTTACAATGCTGATCTGGTCAAGAAGGCAGCAAAGTTACACACATAACACAGACATATCAAATACAGAAAACACAACCAAGTAAACAAAAGACGAAAAGCAGCCATGACATTGTGCACATCCATTGTTTGTTCTATATGCTTCTTGAAATCCTAAAAAACACATTGTTTTTCTAGAACAGATTACAAATCGCCTGAAAATGGTACAAACAAGTGGCAACATGTTTGACGAAGGTGTTGCGCTGGGCTATATCATGCAATCGAAATCTTAAGCTTGCTCCATTGCGGAGATATTCCCGCGAGAGTGCGGAAAACTTAAATGAATCCCCCCCCCCGTTGACAGGGGTCGCCAGCAGAGATGGGGTCGTTACTAAAAAAAAGTAATATATTACATATTACATATTACTTTAAAAAAAAAGTAATATATTACACTACTTCGTTACTCTCTACATAAAGTAACTCGTTACTTTACTCGTTACTTTACTCGTTACTTTACTCGCAGGGCCGGCCCGCCCCTCCCTACAGGCAGATCACGCAGACTGCTAAAGTTTCAAATGTTCTCTTTAGTTCAGTTTCCATTGTCGCATAAGACTGATCCAGATAGCTCTGACTATGGCTGTCCTCTGTCTCCTGCTATCTGTATTTTGCGCAGTATATCTCTGAACGATGCGATGGTGATTCCACTGTGCAAATGGGCAACATTACCTCTACTATGAAGGATGCTACAAGCCTGTCCATCTCTGCTTTGGTTACCGGTCCTCCAAATTCTAATTTGTGCCGCTTCAGAGTCGGCGGCGGCGCACTCACAACATCCTCACTCTGGGTTCGGGGGTCCTTAGCTATTAGCTTCACCTTAGCATGTGTTTTTTGCAGGTGTTTGTTGAGGTTTGACGTGGTGTTTGCAGCAGTGTATAACAGCTTCTGGCCTGGACACAGTTTGCACTTCCCATTTGGGAACCCCTGCTCTAGTAAACCATGGAGTGTTCCTATTCTCAAACTCCGGACCAAGGTCCGGATCCGGACCGAACTGCAAATCAATCCGGACCGAACCCTGTGTCCCATTATAAAAACTTTTTTTTTTTTAAAAATTAAAAAAGAAATAAAAAAAAGAAATTCTGATATATGTACATCATTGTGTACGCGCGTCTTGTGTCTGACGCGTGTCTGATTGTGAGAATGAACGTGCATATATATTTACTTGTGTGTGCGAGCGTGACACGCATTGCAGACCGCAAGTTAACCGCAAGTTAACCTTGACTTTCTAATGCCTCTAATGCCTTTTTTGCCGAGGTTCAAGGAATTGGCTACAGACAAACAGTGCCATTTCTCCCACTAGTTCAAGCCATCATACTGTATGTATGTCTTGAATGTGTGTGTGTATATTACAGGGGCGCCGTTTGCCAACAGGCAAGGCAGGCAAGTGCTTGGACCAGAAGGGGGCCCCCAAAGAAAGTAGATTAAGAAGGTCCACAGCAACGACAACATGAAATACCCGTTAATTTACTGCAACGACATGTCGGGAAACCCCCTGAAGGGGGCCCCATGCATAGAGCGCCTTAAGAAACATTTTCTTAATTTCAGTTGCGTTGCTCCGCTCCGGGGGGGGGGGGGGGAATTATGGCAGTTTTAAAAAAAAGATATGAAGGCAAATTTCAAGATTTCCTACCCTCTAGCTGTGACATCACGCACTCTAGTTAATGTTAAAATCTGAAGAAAGCCTCTTTACCAAGGTCTGAACAATGTTTAATATCTCTAAAAGTAAGAATCAGATTTAAAAGTTGTGTTACACGAATAATGTCAGAAAGATGTGTAACATTTTAAAGTTGGAATGAGGTTTCTGAGTGAAAGTATGAATGAACAGTTAGCAGTTGAAGTCGCATGAAGATTGTTCAAGTCTGAAGATTTTCTCCATTGACTTCAATGGTTAAAAATGTGATGTATTATGGGATGTATCTCTGGAATTATGAAAGTTATGAATGATAAAAGTAATAGCCTGCGATTCCCGACCGAGCTGAACGTTTTGATGTTTGAACGGAGTTTCTGCTATGTTGAATGCAGGAGGAGAAGAGGTGCAAAATTCCGGCGGAATAATAATAATTTTGTCCGTAGAAGAACATATAGTTGGAATGCTGTCTCAGCATTCCCACTAAATGATGACTTAAATCCTCTCTCTCTCTCTCTCTCTCTCTCTCTCTCTCTCTCTGTCTCTCTCTCTCTCTCTCTCTCTCTCTCTCTCTCTCTCTCTCTCTCTCTCTCTCTCTCTCTCTCTCTCTCTCTCTCTCTCTCTCTCTCTCTCTCTCTCTCTCTCTTCAGAAAGCAGACGTGGCTGTGGCCGGCTTCACCATCACCTCAGAGAGAGAGAAGGTGATCGATTTCTCCAAACCCTTCATGACTCTGGGGATCAGCATCCTCTACCGGGTTCATCTGGTAAATGTATTAATTTTTTATTTCAGATTTAAACCCAGCTCTAAACTTTATTATGTAGTTGTTTTTTCATTTGTTGAAGAGGAAATAGAATCAAACAGCTCTTTACTGTTCTCAAACTGCCTGTGCTACAGCACCTCTTTTCACCCTCTGTCTGAAACCAGAGCCCAGTGTGCTCTGATTGGTTAGCTGGACAGCCCGGTTGAGATTGGTCGAGTAGAGGGACCACCAAAAGCCTCATCTTTAAACCTCTATTTTAAACCCGTCCATCAACAAAATGATTCCAACCTACAAAAATATATTTAGCTTAAAAATAAACCTGCTCTGGAGAACTTTAGCCCTCAAGCAAAAGTAATGCTGATCTACTTTGCTTAAAGTGAGTCAGCGTTGTAGAACTGAAATAACCCTCTGAACCCCAACAGCTTCAGGCTGTCTCATTTTACTCACTGTGGCCTTATTTCTCTGCAATATGCAAGTCCTGAATCTTTATGGAAACAGCACCATCCTGGATAGATATAAGGAGAAATCAAAAAGTACTTTGTCTAGTATGACACAGTGACATGTAACATTTTTTATTCATTTGATATACCCTTAAAGGTGGGGTATGTAATTGATTTCAGAAACACTTTTTGTTATATTCCATGGAATGCTCTTAACATCCCGATAGCAATGAATATCTTAAGTGCTTTGACAATAAATACATTAAAAAAATGTCATCTGTGGAAGCTGTAGTACTGTAAAAAGCACGACCAATCATTTTAGCCGGCCCGGCTAAAATAACTGGATGGCCTACCTGCCTGTCAGCCTTCCATCTGTGCACAAACTTATCTCGTGCCCTCATTGGTCATGTGCACGTTTGTGTGTGTTGGAGGAGGGGCTCTGTAAGGAAGTCTGAAGGAAGAGGCAGATTTTTTTCGGTTGTGTATTTTCAAATTCTAGCGCACTCGAGCTTGTTTCTCCAAAATGACATACCCCACCTTTAATAGTCCCACAGAGGGGGAGTTTACATTCTGCATTTGACCCACCCTAGTGTTAGGAGCAGAGTTTACATGTTAGCTGTGATTGGGCTGAGCTGTTCACAGGCTGAAGGACTGCAGATGGATATAAAACTGGGGGGCTGTCGCTGTAAAACTTGTTGTTTTCCTACAATACAATTAGGAGTTTTAAGATGCTGATGAAACTCCATGCAATGCTCAGATTCACCTCAGAGCGTCTGCACCTGTTGAGTCGCTGCTCAGCAGCAGCTCTGCTTTCTGAGGCTCCAACAGTATCCTCAGGTCACACAGTTACACTGTGAGTTCAGGACGGAGCCACAGCAAATATCCCTGTGACCCTGCAGTGGGGGGGGGGGGGGGGGGGGGGGGCGGATGAAAGCTAGCCGAGGACATAGATAGAGGGCATGTTCCCTCTCTCCTTTTTTGGAGACTGGAGGGGATATGATTCAGTAGAGAAATGTGACAGGAGCTGCTGCTTGGCACACATTATTTTGTAGCCTTTGAGGGAGGATGGGGGGGCTCCTGACTGGAATTACAAACAGATGAAGTCCATGCTTCAGAAGCCTGGTCTGGTGGGAGATTAGAGTGAACAAGCATGCCAGCGATTACTTTATAAATCTGCATATATTGATGCAGTGAGGACTATATGTACTTATTTTCTAACTGGCTGAATGCTACTTGTATGAATAAATATATTGTGTGGGTAAGAACACCTAACTGAAATGGACAAATAAGAAGGAACAGAAAGTGTAAATCTGTGTGAAGCTGCTGCAGTGGCGGTTCTAGAACATTTTACACGGGGTGGCAAAGGGGGGGCAAGAGGTCATGCAAGTAACAAGTAACATGTAATGTCATGCCAGGGTGGCAGGGGAGGGCGGACAGTACGTGGTATTTTATACTGTATATATAACCTATTTATTGTTAAGTCATGCCCTAACACAAGTGTTCTTAATGCACAAGAGAAACAAGGTGTTCAGACAAACAAACTAAAATATATATAAAACAGCAGAAAATACTCATGAAACCCTATTTCTGTTTACTGTAAGTACAGTAAAAGTACTTAGTTATAATTAAGTACACAAATGACATCACCCATCTCTTAGAGAGCTAGAGGTGACCTGTGCAGCAACATGTGTCAATACTAAGAGCCGCTAGATTGTGCTGCTGTGATGGAATTAGTGAGGAGAATAAAAACACACCATGTGGTCCAGCTGGAGTCTCCTCTGCCTCCTGATCCCTGCCTCTGTCCCTCTTTCTGACACTTCATCTTTATTCCTCACATACATTTCTTCTTCTTCTTCACTAATGTCTTCATCTCCTCCTCTTCCTCCTGCTCTGACCCTCCTGGTCTCTTCATCTCCTCCTCTTCCTCCTGCTCGACCCTCCTGGTCTCTTCATCTCTCTCTTCCTCTTCCTGTTCGTCCTGATCTCTTCTCAGATATGTCTTTGTGTTCTTGTTGACTCACTCCAGCTCCTCTGGCCTGCAAGAGTCTACTTGTGAAAAGCACTGGTACAAATGCTTGTATAACTTTACACGTTAGGGCCATGTAGCTGATAAGTAGCTAATAAGTAGCATATCATAAATATAACATCAGAAAGTATTTATCAGGCGCACACAGGCAGCTGTGTTTAGATCCAGTTTGACGGTAAAGAATGTATCCTGGTTTCATTGATCTGGCCTCATTGCTGTGATTTGTAATTTACGTGGATGTAATAGTACCGCATAGTTTAGCAAATAAAGTGATCGATTGTTTTTATATTCCATGGAATGCTCTTAACATCCCGATAGCAATGAATAAATGAAATGCTTTGACAATGAATATATACAAATATTTCATCTGTGGGAGCCGTGGCGCTGTAAAAAGCAAGTCCAATTACCTGCCTCGGCCCGCGGCAGGTAATTGGATGGCCTACCTGCCTGTCAGCCTTCCATCTCATGCACAAACTTATCTCGTGCCCTCATTGGTCATGTGCGCGTTTGTGTGTGTTGGAGGAGGGGCTCTGTAAGGAAGTCTGAAGGAAGGGGCAGATTTTTTTCGGTTGTGTACTGTCAAATTCTAGCGCACTCTAGCTGGTTTCTCCATTCTTACCTACCCTACCTTTAAGTGTGTATTAAAGCCCCTGTCACACTGTCCCGAAATTGACACCAGATGGACACACGATAAAGGAAATGTTCAAATTCGGCTCTGATCGTAACAACATCGGGCCATTCGTGAGGGCATCTTAAGCCATCTCAAGTTTCTCAGGCTCCGGCAGCAACTTCGTGAGCGGTGGCAAAATCTTTGGCATGCCAAAGAATTGCAGAAGGAACTGCGAAGGTTCATTTTCGTGTTGAATTTGTGTGTCGTTTTGCCCTTCGTAAGGCACTTGTGAGGGCATCTTGTCAAATTGTGTCATCTTCGTGTGATCATCGGTGCCATCGGACATTTTTCGCCTCACGAAGACAATACGAAGGAAACAAGAAGCTGCCCGATTGTCTTAGGAAGGCAACACGACTACGTGAAGCCCTCGCAATGCCGTCGTGTAGTCATCGTATTATAGTACGATGACATCGAGATGGGACCACGGAGTCGGCGAAGACAGCCGAATTTGAGTAGCTCTGCGTTTCCCATGTGTCATGGTAACGTGGACATATAAAAGGCCAGCCTCAGAGCATCTTCCTCAGTCAGTCGTGAGCAACTCTACAGAGCAGAGGCGTGTGTAACTCCCAAAGCTCCAATCACAATTAATCACAATTCAGTTCCTGCAGAATGGCATACTTTGATGACGAGACAACCAGGAAAAAGAAGGCAGCAGCATTGCTTCTTTTGATGCACCTCAGAGAACATGATGAGCAACTCTTACAGGCCCAGCACCTCCTCTTACAGGTAAAAATTGTCTTATTTCACTTTTTCATTTCTTGCTATTTTGGACCTGCTCTATCGAAATCAGTAGCAGTGATGACACCTGTATTAAGCAGGTGAAACAGGAGCATGAGGACACGGTGTGCTATGTTTCCTTGCAGATCGCTTCTCTGGTTGTTTTATTGCACAACAAAATCATGTAAACATATTATGTAAATAACCCAATTTGTGTTCTGTGAAGTGAAAAGGATATTACATTGTTTTTGTTACTTTCGTTGCAGTTGTATGTCTTAAATGTAATTTAGGTTAACTTCCTGTTTTATTTAGATGCTTTTATTTTGAAGGCGAGTTTACGCGGTTGACAGGAAATTGTTGTTGCTATGGAAACAACATGACGGAGAAAACGTACAGGGACCCCGAAGAGATCTGGTAGACTGAACACATCTGGTACCTACACCGGCTGTTGTTATGCCTGCTGTGACGTTACGTTACTCCGTTCTCCGCTTGTAATTATGCCGTTACAAGCTTCAAAGTTGTATTTATCATCTGAATTTGCCGAAATAAGTTTAATATTCTGAAAGCCAAGACTTTGTTTATTTGAAATCAAACAAAAAACCAGAACCCCGGATACACGTTTAATTTGAAATGAGCCGTTGCGACTTCCGACAGATTTCGATAGAGCGGGTCACATTTGCCTTTCTAGCATTCGACAATGTACTTATCTTCTTTTGCTTTTTATTTTCCAGGGCAGGGCAGGGCAGGGCAGGAAACCGAGGTCTATGTGGATCAGGAAATGGCTGTCGGAGAAAAGAAGAGAACGCTATGGCCACTATAGCACTCAACTAAATGAGCTGAAGACAGAAGATGAGAAGGCCTTCTACAACTACACAAGACTTCCCAGAAGCCTCTACGATGAGGTCCTGCGAAGGGTAGAAGGCAGAATAGAGAAGAAGGACACATGGTACAGAAAGTCTCTCCCTCCTGGTCTCAAGCTGTCCATCACTCTACGGCACCTGGCCTGCGGTGACAATTATCCAAGCCTGTCCTACAACTTCAGAGTTGCTCCAAACACCATCTCCCTCATCATTAATGAAGTCTGCGATGCCATCAAAGCCGAGTTTGCTGCTGAGGTGATCCAGTGTCCTACTACAACTGAAGAGTGGAC